AGAGAAGAAAAGAAAATGAATAGATGCAGGTGGTGATTTTTATTTTTTGGGTGAAGGGTAGAGGGTGGGGATGAAGAAGTGAAGTGGAAATACGCAAAATGAGTATAGAGAGAGAAAAAGAATTGTACCTTTTTAAAAAATAATATTTATTTTAAATATGTAATTTCTGATGTATCATTAAAAATAATAATAATACTGACGTGGAATTTTTGTTGTTCTTACAATAACCTGTATTTATAAAGTTAATAAGCAAAAACAGAAACCAGATGAAGCAGAAAAAATTTAAAATACAAGAATTAATCCGAGTCCACAGAAACTACTGTGTGTCCTTAAGAAATTTAATCCTCTCACTGTACCCAAGGTTATGGATTAATTTTTCCCAAGATAAAACGGATTAAACCTGTTAAAGAAATAGCGGTACCTCAAACTTCTTTAACTTCAACGAACTTAAGAACAACAGCAAGTCACACAGACTCAGTCGATCGACACTTTGATTTTTATTTGTGAGAAAAATAAAATGCAGAGAAAGAAAAAATTTTCAGTAATTAAAAAATCAAAAATTGACCTTTCTTTTATAGCCATTTTCAGCAAGGAACATGTCTGTTCAGTGAAATCTGTTCAGACCCATTTTATCCAGAAAGTTGTGTCTTTTGGAAAAAAATAACAACTTTTCGAAAAATTGTGTCTGTTAGGAAAATAACTACTTTTTGGAAAGTAACGTCTTTTCAGAAAAGTAACGACTTTTCGGAATGTTACCGTTACCCGCCAAATTTATTAGAGATATTATTAACAGGATTTATTTGATTTAACAAAAAATTGATTAAATAATTTTGTCCAAAAAATTTATCAATCAATCACATCATTTGCCAAATCCAAATCCAAATCCAAAGAAATGACTTTTCATTTGCACTTTGCAAATGACTTTTCATTTTTCCTCCAAAGTAGTTCCCTCACTTTTGATATTCTCTCTTTTCTTTTCCCATTCACACTTGCTAAAACCCAACAATTTTATGTGTAAATTGAGTGTAATACACGCACACACAAATGATGAGAAAGGAGTTTCAAATATTGTGTTTTATTTAGTTTAGGGGTCCAAATGACAAAGGGGAGTAAGTAGAAAGGTTCAAAATACAAATCGATTCAAGTACGAGGGTCTACCAGACCATTCCGACTATTTTTTACAATAAGAGTGATTTAGTAAAATTACCCGTATCATTTAATTTTTTCCTTTTTCAATAATATTTATTCACTATCGACTTTACATATTTTTAAGAAACTATAAATAGAAGAATAATTTTATTGTATCACCCTTTGAATATAATAAATATACTTGACAAATATAATAGAAAAATTAATATAATTAATGATAAAAATAAATTAGAAATTAAGTGTAAATTATTTATTAATTTCATAAAATAAATTAATATTATTGAATGTCTCATAATAGTATATTATTATTATTAGATAGAAAAAATATTCTTAAATTATATATCAAGTTAATAAAAAAACAATTATTATTGGACAGATACATATTGCATAAGCTGTTTTCTAAAAACAATTTTTGTTTTGAAGGAAATGGTGATTGATACATGTGGATGAGAAATAGTGTGAAGGCGACTCTTGAAAGTGATATTGATATTTATCCTTTTCACTTAATTCTTTTTCAAATAAAAGACCATCATTACAATTAATAAAATTTGTGAAATTATGGGTCACTTTTAGCTCATTTGTTTGTTGTGTTTGATAAATGAATTATTATTGGAATTGGTACCAAAATTCAGTGGTTATTTTTGGATGTGACTGGAGAATTTGTGGATCCTACTTGGAAAGCCACCTAGAAATTAAATGTAATTATAGTTTCACATATTTATTTGGTAAAATTATTATTTGAGAGATTTTATTTTGTGACTCGTAATTGAATTTCTTAGCTAGAGAACAAAAAGAAGACGAAAAATCAGCATTAAGGGAATTATAAGAAATGTTATTCAATTTTGGAAAAATAACAAAAATTCCTTCCTTAAGTTCACTTATTATTTTTATCCCCTATTAGTATTAAAGATACCTAAAATCCTTTATTTTAAATCAAATGAGCCGGATATAAAAATGTGACAAAAATTGAGACGGATACAAAAATTTGATAAAAAATGAGAAGGATACAAAAATATAAAAATGAAGCGTATACAAAAATATGACAAAAATTGAGACGGATACAAAAATTTGATAAAAAATGAGAAGGATACAAAAATATAAAAATGAAGCGTATGCAAAAATATGACAATAATGAGTAAATTTTTTATATTTTTATTTGTACTTTTTGATATGTAAATCATCAATTTATGTTATATTGGGAAATTTCTTTTCTAAATAATCATTTTCAATTTCTCAAAATTTGGTCAGAGATGATATTGTTCTTGTACTTTTTTAAAAATAAAAAAATAAAAAGAGATAGTATTGTAATTTGTATGTATGATGTATTTCTATCTTTAAATTAAAGTCTAGTTGCTTTAGCATGTTTTTTCTTTTGATAAATGTCATAACTATATATAATTTTAATTTAATAAATTATGAATAAGGACATGTAAATGATTTACGAACCACACTAGTTTATAATTATATAATAGCTTTAGTTGTCTACAACTATAGTTATATTTAGCAATTGCATATTTGATCAAACAATTAAAATTTAGAAAAATAATCTATTTTAGATCTTCGATTATAAGAATTATTGTCACCAATTTTTAAGAACATTATTATGTAATGCAGATCTTATTCACATATTTATTTTTCAGGCTAAGCATTTAATAAGGAAAGGGAAATATGCTAACCTAATTAGTAGCAATGTCATAGTGCCATAAAAATAAGGGGGGAAAGTGTGAAAAATACTTTTATTTTGCTCGAAATTGGTGTTACAATAGCAAACTTAATGGACGGCCTTTTATTCCCTACAATATTTAGTAGTGTATTTTAAAGGTATATTTTTGTGCTCACGTGGACACACTACTATTTATAATTATGCAATATTTATGATGTCAACATGGGCACATATATACCTTTAAAATACACTATTAAATAGTGCAGATGGGTAAAGGGTCATTTTCAAAGTTCAATATTGTTACAACAATTTCGATCAAAGTTCGAATACATTTCAGACTTTTCCCCCTCAAAATAAACCTATATTTAGATAATTTGCCCTATTTATCCATATTTTAATGAGTTGGGTGAGTGATTACGTGGCAAAATATTAGTTTATACTTATATTCAACCTATAAAAATATAAACGTTTATGAATAAAATATGGATAAAAATATTTTTCCAATCAACTTATTCTGTTCAAATATAAAAAGAAAACGACTAATCTCCGAGAAAAGTAATGAAATTATTTCCCAAAACTTCTTTTACTATTTCGCATTTAAATTTTTCACCCTAACTCAAGTCTCAGTTACCGATTAATACTAATTCAAGATTTTACTCCTGATTCACGATTCGAGACCTGACTTCTAACTTCGATTATTTCAGACCGTATTGAAATCGAATATCAATCCCGAGTTAGAATTGATTGTTGGAACCTAAATCAAATGTCAAAGTCAGGTGTCAAAATGGGGTTTCAAATTGGGTTCGATTTGAGAGTTGATGTCAAGTTCATTTCCTTGATTAATTGTGGGTCGACTATCAAGTCAGGTTTTGGGTGCGGTCACCAATTGAGCTTCCATTCGGAAGATAAGGTCATGTTCTAGATTGATCATCGAAGTTAGGTGATGGGTTCCGATTCAAAAGTTGGTTCTCAGGCCGAGTGTTGAAATTGGGTCTCAAATTGAATATCGGGGTCAAATTCCTATTTAAAAGTCAACTTTCAGATTGAATTTTAGTCGAATCCCGATTCAAAAGTCAATTTTAGCTGGTTGAGAGTCATAATCAAATCATGATTTAAAAGTTGGGACCCAATTGGGGAGTCGAATTCCTCTTTGGATCTTGGGTCGGGATCGAACCTCAAGTGGACAGTCGAGTTTCGAATCAAGAGTTGAGGTCGTATTTTAAATCAAGTATCAAATTTGAATTTCGAAACTAATGTCAAGGTCGGGTTTCGACTGATTTAAAATTATTTTTTTCAAATATTTTTTATGAATATCTATGACCAAGTGGGTGTAATTATAATTATATACATTGAATATTTTATAAACATGAAATATCATATTATATAGGGATAATTTCAGAGATCTCTCTCCAGGTTGTTTTCTGTCACTTCTTCTGTGATTTACGATATTACGTCTACCTCCCTTATTTATATTTTATTGTAACCATTATTTAAACTTATTTGAAATAAATATAAATTAATTTGGATTTGACATTTTTACCCTTGTTTAAATTAATTTCTTTATATTATAAATATAAAAAATCAACTCATTTAACAAACACTTTAAAAATGGATCATCACAAATACATATTTTATTGATCAAACAAAGATGAAAGTCTTCATTCAAGCTGACTCACCATTTTAAGCAAATATTAATTCTTCATCTCCATTTCGCTTTTATCAATTCATATGGATTTTTTTTCCACAATAACTCATCATTTTCCAGCAACAATTTCTTCAAATAGAGGATAAAAATGAATACCTCAAGAGAGAAATTTGATAAGAACAATCAAATTTTGTTCTAGTTAAACATTTCTACGAGCGAAAAATAAACATGATTCTACGAACAGAGATAAACCATTGAAAATTAGATCTAAACTTTCATATATAAGGGTAAAATTCTCAAATTTAAACTAACTTATATTTATTTTAAATAGGTTTAAAGAATGGTTACAATAAAATAAAAATAAGGGAGATAAACATAATATCGTAAATTACGTGAGAGAAGAATGTTATAAAGCAAAACCTAGAGGGTAATCTCTAAAATTATCCCTATAATATAATATGAAAGTAAATTATAATTTGATACGATAATGGGGTATTTAGGTACCAATCTACCCCCCCTATTCCTTGCCAAATAGGTTGAAAACAAAAACATAAGAAAAAAGAGAGAAAAAAAAACAAGTAGGGGGCAGAGGGAGAGAGGGGTGGGGGTGTATTAAATTGAGACAGAGAAAAGGAAGAAGAAGATATAAACGAGGGTGCGTTGTAGTGTGACTGTCAAATCTACATATTCTCTCTCTCTCTTTTGGGAGATTCGATTCAATCGCCGATCATTTCGGCTTTTCCAATCTATGTCTACTGCCTCTCATCTCCATCTATAATGTTCTCGTTTTTTCAAGGTACCTTTTCAAACTTCCATCACAAATTTACTACTTTTCTTAAATCTTCATATTTATAAATTTTTATTTTTATTTTTATTTTAGTATAGTTGTTTCGCTAGTTATGTGTTTAAAAAAAATTGTTTCTTTTTTTTTTTAATGGGAATTTATGTTTCTGCAGGAGTTGTCTATGTTGGAATTCTGTGTTTATGATAATGCAAAATTTAAAAAAAAAATGAAAATTACGTATAGAGATATGAGAGTTATGAGTGGTCATTTCTGGGTCAGGAGATTTCCTCTTTTGAAACTGTAAGCTTAGGGCATTTAGCTGTGAGTAGGCACTAAAAAGGTTCCCTTTTATGGAAATGGGATCTGCTTTTTCAACATTTCTCATCATACCTTAAATAATACTAGTATAAAATTAACAATAATTGCTCAGAAATCATCATATCAGTTTTCAGATATTGTCTCTTATGTTTGCTCTCACCCTTCCCTTTTTCTGTTCTTATTGTTTGCAGGTCCTGTTTGAATTGAAAAAAGGAGAATTGTGTTTAGCAACAAAATAATGGAAGGAGATACATTTTCAGTGTTAGGTAATAATGGTACACAAATAGATGGTAAGGTATTTCAAACATTTCAAAAGAGCTTTGTACAAGTGCAGAACCTATTGGATCAGAATAGATTGTTAATCAATGAGATAAATCAGAATCATGAGTCAAAGATCCCTGATAACTTGAGCAGAAATGTTGGTTTAATCAGAGAGTTAAACAATAATATCAGAAGGGTTGTTGACCTTTATGCAGATCTTTCATGTTCATTTACAAAATCCGTAGATGCTTCATCTGAAGGGGATTCTACTGGAAAAGCTACACATAAGAGGAACAAACCTCTTTAGAAGGACCAAAAAATCCCCAAGATAAATTAATGGTTAGATATTAGTATAACTTTTTTGGTTTCTTCTAGTAGTTGGTTGTACTTTGTTTAGTATCTTACTCAGAAATAATGACCACTTCAAGAAATCTATTTTCTTTGTTAATGTGCCCTGCAGATCTAATTGAATCAAAAATATCATCTTGCTGCTAAATTCTTGATTTTGTTTTGATTCATGTTAACCTTAGAAAAGCCTAATGGCATTGGTGTTTTCACATGCTTTGTCCATCATTCTAAAGTTTTCTCCATCCAAATAAAAAATCTCGAGTTTGAGTCCGTGAAATAGTGGGAGACACTCTATCTCCCAAGAATCAAAGCTCACATCAATTTTTTTTTTTTTTGGTTTAGGAAAAGTTAGTATTGGTGATTTGTATGTGTTGAAGCAGAATGGTACTTTGATTGATACATACATTTCTGCAAAGATGCTCTGAGGCTTTTAGGGGAGGGAAAGTAGATCTTTTTAGTTCCCAATCACATAGCACCACAGGATAGGAATCTCAGATGAGAAATGACAGCTCTTTTTGACCAAAATTTAGTTTTTTTTTTATTAAAAAAAATGTATTTATATGTTTTAATGTTATAAAACAATAGATAAGGTAAGAGATGAATAAAGAATCCATTTTGGTTCAAATTTTCCAAGAGACAAGACATATATGTGAATAGTGATTCCCAACAACATGACAAAGGGCCCTCTATTTAGATGAAACTGAACTTGTACATGCTTATCCCCTTCTTTACTTAGGTTTCTTTTTATTTGTTTCTTTGTTACTTTTGGCCTCCTTTTTTGCAAATTGAAATAAAAGTTGCTTTTATTACTGGCTTCCATTTGATCCCCACAAACATATCCTCCATGGGCCCTCTCTTTCCCACAACTCCTCCTTTTTCTCATTTTTCTTTTCCTAATGCAAACAACAACCTCAATCCTACATCTTTCATATAGAGGGTGTGTTTGGTATGAATTTTCTTGAAAAGTAAGTGAGTTTATTCTTGATTATTTTTTATTGGTAAGGAAGCAAGAAAACAGTATTTCAAGAATATTTGTATGTCATCTGGCAAAATATTATATAGTCGGATAGGAGGGGTTGGGAATGGTCAAGGGGTGTGGGTTATTGGGAAGGAGACAATGCATTTGAAATATCTATTATACAATTTATTATTCTCATTTTTAAAGAACTTATTTTCCTAGAGAAAATGTAAAATTTAATATAGAAAAATTGAAAAATATTTTTGTAACAAATACAAGAATCAATTTTGGTTTGTGTCTTGGATTATAGTTTTTGAATTTATAACCCTTGGGATATGGTGATTTATCTAAAATCAAATAGGCGAGTAATCCTAAATTTAAAAGGTTAACTCTATTTGTTATTTATGTTAAATCTTTTCGTGGGAGTGCATCAAGATTCCACAAGATCCAAAAATTGACTATAGTCTTTGAGTGGTAACTTTATGATGAATTAAGAGAGAAGATTGAACTAATTTTTATTTTTATAATGATAGAAAGAAGAGAAAAAATTTGTTGTTTTGGTATTCAAGAAAAACATAATTGATGGTCTGAAAAGATTTAACATAAAAAGACAAAGACAATGCAAACATAGATATTGGTTGGCTTTGTTGGTGGACCCTCTGACTGAAGATGAGATCCTAATGTGTGGCCAACATGGGTGATTGGCTTTGTTACTTGTTTACAACACTTTTGTGGGTGTCACCTTATAATTTATTACATGTTCATTCTTCAACAGTTATACTGTTTTTTCACATCTTCCTTTGTCTCTAACTTGAATGGATCTGTCTATCTATACATTAAACTAGTGTAATCACCTTTTTTTTCTTTTTTCCCATATTCCGACGTACACTATTTATATTAGAGTCTGGTTATTCGTATTTATATATTGCAGAGTTTATATCAAATCTGATTAATTTTAATTTACGCATTGCAATACTTATTTATGAGAATAATGCTCCTAACAAAAAAAAAAATTATATCTAAAACTTGAATAGAGACCTCTAATTAGGAATAGAGAAATTTCAATCATTCTAATACAATTATAATAAGGGTATAATCACCATTTGCTATTGACTCTTTAAAATTCTCGTCATCCATCATTACTATACCATTTAATTTGGTTGTTTTAATGAATCATCATAGATGTGTTATTGGAATGCCAATTCTAACATTTTGAGTTTATTTTTGGGCGTGTCTAGAAAACGTTTTGCGTTTTCTTTCATAATTCTTTTATATTTGATTGATCAAAAATTTTGAAAAACATTTTTTTAGAAAAATAACTTGCTTAAAAAATAATAAAAATGATTTTTCTAATGGAATAGATTAAATAAAGTGTCACAATTGATATTTCATAGTATTTTTAAAAATTATAAATAAATAATTTTATTATAATATTTTTTGTTTGTACTCCCTTCATTCTTTTTATATGTCATCTCTTTTTATAAATAGTTGGGATAATGTTCAAGTACCTCCTCAACCTATGCCCGAAATCTCAGAGACACACATATACTATACTAAGGTCCTATTACCCCATGAACTTGTTTTATTAATAATTTTTTTACCCCTTTTTAGCCTACGTGGCACTATCTTGTGGGCCCAATGGTTGACTTTTTTTTCAAACTAGTGCCACGTAGGCTAAAAGGGGTAAAAAATTACTTATAAAATAAGTTCAGGGGGATAATAGGACCTTAGTATAGAGTGTTTCTGGAATTTCGGGCATAGGTTGAAGGGGTACTTGTGCATTTTTTCTAAATAGTTAGATCATAATACTTGTCATTTTATAAAGATAATACATAAGTTATCATATTCTTTCTATTATTTCCTTGATAGAATAGTTAATTAGTCTTAAAAAAAAATATTTTGACTAATCTAAGAAATTTAATAAGTAATTAATATTCATTGGAGTACTTCATACATTGATTAATTACTCTCTTCATTCACTATTTTATAAAATTTGGTCTTGAAAATAAACTCAAAAATTGAAATAGTGGACCAAATATGTTTCAATAAATCTAGCATATTAATCATTTATTTAAAAGTTGACTTAAAAAACATTAAATAAGGATGGAAGGATAAAATCTCTTAATTTCTTAATACAAGGTGCAATCTAAAATAGTGAAGCTCATTTATTTTTCTAAAAGTATTTTCCAATAGAACATTTTTCAACGAAACGATTTTCCTTTATATTTCCTTGGTCTTATTACTTATCCACTTTTGAATTCACATAATTATAAATAATGATTGATTGATAAAGTGAGTTTATTATTTTATTTCTACCAATTATGAAGCGAGTGAATTAATAATTTAAGATTTTCAAAAAAAAGTCTATGTTTTTTAAAATAATTAATTAAGGATATAATAAATTTTAAAAAATTGTTATTTATTAATTTACCAAATGAACAAGTAAAAAAAAAATAAAAAAATTAGGGACACAAGAAGGATCGAACACACCCTTCATTATCTTTCTTTTTTCCCTTTTTGGGTAAGTTAAGCATTGTCTTCATTTTTACTACTTTCGTACATGTCTCAATAGTATTCCAATTTACGATAACTACTTTATAGAAATAAGAAAATATCTTTTGTAATTTTAAAATTGCTAAATTTATGATTATTAATTAATCGTGAATAACTCTTACCAAACATCCCAGTAGGCATGTTACATCATTTAAATTGGCATGGTCATTTTCCACGTTAACAAATATAGCCAAAGTTTTTTCTACTTAACAACCTCTAAATGTTTACCTTTTTTTCTTTTTAATGAATATAGATTCATTAAATACTGTAATTGTCCACTACAATATTTCCAATCAAATTTATTTTTTTGAATAGCTAGTTTACTTTCGTTTTGCTGAATAAAGATTAATGACAATTTGAAAAATAGGCTTGGTAATTATATGGTGATATAAAACTTGGAAAGGAGATTAATATTATCTGGAACATTTTAGATTGTTTTAGGGTGATCGATAAGACTAAAGCCGTTGAGAAAATTAAATGAAAAAATGACTGGACAATGAAAGAATATCATGAAAATGTCATTTAATTTGCGTATGAAATCATATTAATTGGAGTTTAATGCAAATAGCAAACATCGTAATACTTTTATCCAAACTCAGAGCATTAATAGCTAATTACATTCTATTTCTTTTCTCTTCCAAATTACAAAAAAAGTTTTTAAATTTGGTAGAATTTGGATACATTCCAAAACATCTTGATACATCGCATTTCAATTTTGGATACATCACTTCTCGATTTCGAATACATCACTCAACATCCTGATACATCACCTAGATCCCTAATACATCGTGTAAAGCAATTAATACATCACGTCAAATAATGTGTCCAATTGATATATGCATAAAGTGATGTATCTCAGAATTCGAAAGCGTAAGATATTTTGTAAATTTTTCAAATGATAATTGTTTTTTAAAAATATGATAAAAACAAATTGCATTTACCAAAAATTTTTCCTTTTAAAAAAATCTTACTTTCCTAAGAATCCATGTGTTATTATGGAAATTGACATAAATCCATCCAATAATAGAATAACATCTCTCTCACACTCTCTTTCTATATAGTTTGTCCATATTTATATGATTCATTTTTCTATTTTAGTTAATTTTTTAAGAATTCTACAATTTTATATTGAGTAAGAATTTAATTTATATTTTATATTTTATATTTAATAAAATAATTTATAGCTAAACAAATAACTATAACTTATTTTGTACTATAAATTTTAAAAATCTTTTTTTCTTTTTTTTTGCCTAAACTTTGTGTCGAGTTAAAATATGTCACGTAAATAGAAAAGAAGAGACTATATATTAACATATAATGTACATGGGCGGACCCACATATATCCGTCAGGGTGCACGTGCACCCGATAATTTTTTTAAAAAAATAGTATATTTATATATAGACAATTGATAAAATGAACATATATTTAATTGTGCATCCTAACAACCAACAGTCATTGTGGGTACACTGGTCAAAATCTCCAGCCTGCTGCGCGAGTGCTCGAGATTGATTCCTAATAGAGGCAACAATTTTTTCTAACTTTAAAAATTTAGTCTTTTCTCTTTAAAAATAATTTTTTATAACACTACTAGAAACAAATAAAAGCCCTTGCACAATTTTAATCAAAATATAAGACT